CACACACACACACACACACACACACACACACACACACACACACACACACACACACACACACAGGTTTGCAAGAATGATGGCGTCTCCTCTCTCCTCTCCAGTTCTTCAGATAAATCACACCAGTGAGGTGATTTATAATGACACCAGCGTGTTCGGAGTGGTGGACCATTCCGTGATCTTGGAATGTGGAGCAACGTTACCAGACATTTACATATGGAGCTTCACCAAACCGGGCACTGATGGCATCAAAGCCGTGGTGTATGATTTGGGGAAAGGACCGAGGATTCAGAAACTTGCCGAGACCCTCGGGCCGCTGACAGTCATCTCAGACCGGGCAGCGCTGAGCATCGAGAAACTTCCTCTGGCTGCTAARGGCCTGTTCACCTGTCAGGCCTTCTTTGACAGAGTAACTGAAGTCATAGCGTACTATTACTACGTGTACCTTATTGTCCAAGGTAGGATTTACTCTGCTGTATGGATGAGCTTGTTTAGACAGACCCTTCACTATAATGCTYCTTTTTTTGATTGAGTGGTGCAAGAAGGCACTCAATCACCCAGTGCCAAGAACGTTCTAATTAGAATTTCTTAAAGGGGGGTATGTCATGTAAAATCAACTTTTTTGAGCTTTATATCATGTTATAATTTTATCCTCTCCTTAAAACATGCCCAGAGTCTTGCTTTGACTCATTCATGCATGTTTGAGAAATCCTGTAGAGTCCTGAGGCAGCCAGGCAGGGGAGCAAAAACCACCAATTGGGACTAGAACCACCTTTTGGGATCAGCTCCTCCTCTGGACTGTGTCTCGAAGCCGAGCTTCCTCATCACAGAGCACAGACATACACATGGCCACTTAATAAATAAATGAAATGAAATGGGCGGAACAGAAGCAGAAGGAGGATCTTAAAGAAACAGAGGCCAATTTCAAAGTGTTTAGAAACAGATATGATGAGAAGTCACATTTATTTTCTATTTAAACATATAAACAACATTTTAATAACCACTAAAGGTGACATAGTTACTTTATTATGATATAGAATTTAAATATATGCCTGAGAAACACATAATATTGCCTGTTTAATAGCAGACATAAAAATGAATTAATAGACCAGGCTAGATTATGGAGATGATCACACTCCTTATGTCCAACTAATTTATACTGTATATACACTGTAAAAAATGAAATGTTGGACTTACCTAACCATGTTATGTTACCTGGTTCCACTTAACTGAGTTGAGTAAATTCAAAGCAATATACCAGTTTTTTTAACCAAAGAACATGAGTATGTTGCTTTGAGTTTACTCAACTCAGTTAAGTGGAACCAGGTAACATAACATGGTCAAGTAAATCCAACATTTCATTTTTAGAGTGTATACTGTATATAAAAAACAATGTCTACCTCTTATTTTATTTTTTATTGTATTTTTTGTTTGTTTTTACAGTTCCTGTCAGTAAGCCGTACCTCCTGATAAATGATAAATACCCAGTGGAAGGATCAGCATTGTGGATGCACTGCAAAGTGGAGAATGGGTCTGAGCCGATCCAGTACAGGTGGCTACATGAAGCTCTTGACGGAAACGTCATGACTTTCTCAAAGGGCAACAACAGCATTGTCACAATAACCGGCATCAACCGAAACCACACAGGCTGGTACCATTGTGTGGCGAGTAACGCCGTCAACAACGAGAGCTCTGACAGCATACTGCTGAACATCACATGTAAGTTTTACTAGATTTTAAAAAAGTTCTCGAAGGTTAAAATCAAAACAGGAGGTGCCTCATTTTATGTCCTGAAACAATCTAACCGAAGCTTTTTCTACAGTCTTCATTGTTCTCATGTTTCTCCTCAGTTGGTCCAGATGTTCCTCAGATAAACGTGACTCCATACAGAATAACAGAACACGGGCTCTCACTTCTGGAGACAGAAACGGTTTCTTTGTCGTGTGAAACTAAGTCCAATCCAGCCAGTCGGTACATCTGGTTCTTCAACAACTCACAAAACTCCAGCGGGCCGCAGTTCACCATCAACAAGATCCTCCGCACGCAAACTGGAAACTACACCTGCTTGACACAAAACCCCTACCTGAACACGAGTTCCAGCAGAACCATCAGGCTGACTGTTTACTGTGAGTGTGACATCCTTTCTATTGCTGCTTCGATCCCAACCTGTGTGGATTTATGAAAGACTGAGAAAATAGTGATTTATTTTATTTTGTGTACATCCAATCAAACAGCTTAAATACTATCCATCATGTCATTACATGTTCTCCCTACAGACCCTCCCGATGGTTCCCCCTCCTGCTCTGTGGAGCCGGCTCTGAATCACACCTCTCTCAGACTGCTCTGCTCCTGGCCTGGTGGGTTCCCCTCCCCGTCCCTCCGCTGGACCGGATATCTGATCCAAGCAGGGCAGCAAACTAATCTACAAACTGGTTCTGACGTCTTGTTGACCACTGAGAGCTTGAGTCCTGACAGCAGCTTGTTCACATGCGTGGGCTCCCACCCTGCTCTGAAACAACAGACTCAGTGCAGCACACGAGCATGTGAGTACAGGAGAGGTTCRAGAGGTGACAGGAAGTTGGACTGTAATTGATTGGAGACTTCTCCTCCATCAGATCTTCCTCCTGCAGAGCCGGTGTGTTTRGCCTACGTGACCAGCACTAGACAGTATCTGATGCTGTCCTGCTCCTGGGATGGAGGGGCCCCCAAAGCCTTGGTGTGGTGGGAGGGGCCGACGGGTCAGAGCCAAGGTGGACAGGAGAACTCCAACATCCTGGTCCTCCGCTACGGCACGGCCCGCAGTGGGAATCCCTACACCTGCTACGCTAAACACCCACTCCTGGTCCGACCCAAGACCTGCAGCCTCACACTGGGTCAGAGCTCCTCCTGTTCACTTCAGCTGTAAAATAACTGCAGTTAAAGATTACGTGAAAATGTCTTCTAAAAGATGAAAAACGTTTTACCAGAGTCAAGTAAAAAGTAGATTCAAAATCTGCTTACATTTTATAGCATAGAATGCTAAATGATTTTCCTGCATTAAAACTATGGAGTTCCATTTGTGCCAAAAATACGTTGTTGAGCTTTAGTAAAATTTTCTTAAACTTTGTGTTGACACATAACGTTGTTTTGTTCTGTCTGTGAARGACTTATAAACATGGTTTTGGAACATTTGTATAGTTGTATAGACAGAACAAAATGACGTCATGTGCCAACATAAGGTTTAAGAACATGGACTAAGGCTCAACCACATGTTTTTGGCACAAATGGAAGTRCATATAAAACACCCAAATGTATCACTTAATCCTGACTCCAGTTGCRGTCAGTAAACTGTCCCTCCTGATGAGTGACGCGTCTCCAGTGGAAGGATCCACAGTGTGGATGCGGTGCGGCGTGGCAAATGGGACGGAGCCGATCCATTACATGTGGCAACGGGAAACTTATGGCGGGAACTTCACAACATTTACAGAGGGCAACAGAAGTGTCGTCAACATGACGGGCCTCAATCAGAACCACACAGGCTGGTACCGCTGTGTGGCCAGCAACGCTGTCAACACTGAGAGGTCTGAGCAGATGTGGATGAATATCACATGTAGGTACCAAATCATCTCTTTGAAACTGAGAACATTTGAAAAAAAATTATTGTGACAAGTAAAAAGGTAAGAGTTGCAAATAATAAAAAAGCTTAACACTATAATAACTTAAATAAACTCAACACTTCATTTTTTAGAGTGCATAAACAACTTTCATGATGAGTTTTCGTCATATTTAAATTTGTAGTATGTAACAGTGTTAAATTTTAAAGTAAAGAAGTAAAAGTATAATTCTTATGTTTAGAATGTAACAAAATAAAAGTAAGTTATGATTAAAAAATTATTGGTAAAATTACAGATCCTCAAAAAACTTAAGTACTGTAACAAAATAAATGTACTTGTTATACACTTCTCAAGCTGAGGAGTCKGGTATTTCAGAATAAAACAAATCAAACATGAGTTGTTAAAAACAAAGCCGCAGGTCTGAATCCACTAGTCAGTGCTCTTCAAATCCAGTGTTTGTGTTATTTATCCACAGATGGTCCAGGTGATCCTCAGYTCGATGTGACTCCAAACAGAAGAATGGACCGTGGAGGCGTCATTCTGGAGACCGACACCATTTCTTTGTCCTGCGACGCTCGGTCCAATCCGGCCAGTCAGTACGCCTGGTTCTATAACGACTCACAGATCCACAGCGGGCCACTGCTCACCATCAACAAAATCCTCCGCAACCAAACGGGAAACTACACATGTCTGGCACAGAACTCCTACTTGAACACCCAGTCCAGGAGAACCATCAGCCTGACTGTCCTCTGTGAGTGTGACCTTTGACCTTTGACCACATCAATAACCAACTTGTTTGAAACCTTTAAATTTAATCCAGCTGTGTGTAATAGATTGAGATGTTTAGTACATAAATAAGCAGATATTTCTGCTGAATATAAATACCCTCCACAGCCAGTATTAGTGTATATYTACACAGTTATTAGTACATCTTTATCCTCACTGCCTCACTTTTCTTATGTTTTCCTTTCAGACCCCCCTGATGGTTCCCCCTCCTGRTCCGTGGAGCCGGCTCTGAATCACACCTCTCTCAGACTGCTCTGCTCCTGGCCTGGTGGGTCCCCCTCCCCGTCCCTCCGCTGGACCGGAGACCTGATTCAAGCAGGACAGGCCGACACCGGACAGCAAACAAATCTAATCGGCACAGATGTCTTGCTGCCCTCTGGAGGTCCGAGTCCAAACAGCAGCTTGTTCACATGCGTGGGCTCRCACCCTGCTCTGACACAACAGACCCAGTGCAGCACACGAGCATGTGAGTACAGACATTTAAACCAAAACTGAGAGAAATGTGACACAACTGTTAATAGTTTCCCCTCTCTCGCACCAGATATCCCCCCTGCAGAGCCGACGTGTTTCGCCAATGTTTCGAGCGACAAACAGTACCTGATGCTGTCCTGCTCCTGGGATGGAGGGGCCCCAAAGGCCTTGGTGTGGTGGGAGGGACCGGGGGGTCAGGGTAAAACTGGAGAAGAGAACTCCAACACCCTGACCCTCCAATACAACACTTTTCAGTTTGGGAAGTCTTACACCTGCTACGCTAAACATCCGCTTCTGACCCAAACAAAGACCTGCAGCCTCACACTGGGTCAGTGCTCAGGATGCAACAAAAGCTTAAGATTTATTACTTTATGAACTTATAGAGGCATACATGTGTCTAATGCAGTCACAGTCAGGTATCTGTATGTTAAATGCTGTCAGGGATGTGCAAACCAAAACTTTTTACTCTTATGATTTAGAAAAATTTGTTACTTTCTTGATATATTGTTTTTTTCTAGTTTTTCTCCTAACAAATGAAAATAAAAAACATATATA